AATACTAAAAATCATCTTTACAAATTCAATACTGGTCTCTCAGAGAACAAGTCCGTCTATGAAACACTATTGCAAAATTGTGCCGACAGACACGTGAAAGAAGAAAATGGTAGTGAGACTAGGAAGTTATTTTCGATGAATCACTTAACGGAATGGACAAAGACTATTCTTGCTTATTAATGATTGTTAGTACTACTACAAGTTTCTTTCTAATGTTATGTCGCACTGCCCGGTTAAACTACAAATGATATCATTTTATTTGCCAGTTCAAATGACTTTGTTGAGTGTATACAACTTGTGTACTGCACACTAATTCTTATCTTGTATAAGCGATTGACTTAAAGGTTTAAACAGAAAGGATTTAAACGATTCGCAGTAATCTCCAGATTTAGTTAGTGAATAAAGACGTTGAAAGTCAAGCACATTTGCAAATGTCAGTCTGTTCAAGCTTGAAGAACATAGGTGTTCTTTTAACAGTCACTGTTTACCTACTTATTAACCAGAAGAATAGGTTTAATGGTACTTGGTATACAGCTAACCTATTCAAAACAGTAGGGCAAATATATCCTTATTCTGGTTCTGTCATAGTCCTAAGTTGATGGATTAGACTATAGTAGGGTTACTGATTGTCTGTTTTTCTCATATTCAAAAGTTATTCGATTCACTGTCGAATATTCCGTGGAACATGACACCCTTAATGATAGGGATTATTCTGAATGGTCTGTAAGCCACTAATGAGAACATCTGAAACAATCTATACGGTTTGTTACATATAAAGCAGATATTAGTGGCGTCCACCGAAAAACGTTCGGCTTTAAAGAATGCAGTGACCAACTCCTTCGGGAAAACTAGATCATAAAGCTTACATTGCTGTGACTGCACAGGTTGAACAGATCACTCCATAGTAGGATCTTCTTTCAGATACTGCAAGAAATAAAAAAATTAGCCACTATTGTCTGTGTCGCTTTGTAAGTTTAGCTGTCTTAGTAGAAACGGTGCTTTATTAGTAGAACCACTTGGTAACCTCATCATAGTTTTCTTGAACATGGAAATGAGCCAGAGAACAATAGAATTTCATCAAAAATCCAATACGGGATACTAAACACTGAATTGCCCGATATTCAGATACAACTATTTTTTCTTCTTATTCTGGCACACAGTTACAATCCTGACTCAATAAAAGGATTAAAGAAGCACGTATTTTCAGGTTTATCATTCGTATTTTACCCGTTTATTTATTGTAACATATTCATTAACTTTAGTATAGACTCTCCTTACTTACTTTACTACCAAACTTCTTCTCTGGATATTTACTTAAGATAAGAGCTGTTGGCAGCAGTCGTTTGCCTTAGATTTTATGTCCTAATTAAGCTCTCCATCGTAAAGAAAACTCTAATACAACACATAAAAATCCGTCGAACTGTAACACAAATTACCAACGCTCTAACTAAATATATGAGGATGTATAGCATTCTCAAACTAACTTGCATTATAGGCACTACTTACTAATTTCTTAAACATAATCAGTTAATTTTAGTGTATCAAAATGAATAGAATAAATAAAGTATAATTATATTTCAATAGTTTACACAAAATGATAGGTTTTGTTATTGATGGAATTTGTTGGAATTGGTGGTGTGAACACGGGCAGTAATTTTGCTCGAAATATTAGCAATAACAAAACCTATCATTGTGTGTAAACTATTGAAATGTAATTATACTTTATTTGATCTAATCCACAATGCTCAAACTTTTTACTGATATTAAAATGAATAGACTCACTGTTAAGTCAGATCCTATTTATCCACTTAGGTATTCTTAGCTATATTTTTTTATATGCATCCCTTTTTGAATCTAACACTTGTTGATTCCAATTGACTGAGTACAAGACAGAAGTTTTCTTGGTGACCTGATATGACCTCCAACTGAAACCTTTGTGCAGTCATTCACATGTAGTTAATGTAAGGGACTAACTTATTGATCAGTAAAGAATTTCACAACTTCTGTTAACTTTATGTATTATTTCTGCAAATGATTTGTATGAATTTCATATTAGATGAATGTTTGTTTGATGGAATACACAGTAAATGATACAATATTAACAAGTGGGTGGTGTTTCAAGCATAATTTATTGTTGAGAATCATATCAACATATTCATACGATTGGTTGAATGATTTCATCATGAGCTGACATCACTTGGATGATGAAGAGTTCCAAACTAAGAAGAAACAGCTGTCCAGTGCTTCCAGGTTTTCCCATGGTTCTCTAACTGATGTCAGATCATGACGAAATCCTCCAACCAATCAAAACAAAATTTCTACAAACCAATACCTGAAAATATTCATATGACTTATTAACTTGAGTTGTTAACTGCATTTTATTTATCATTGCAATTTTCTAAATGTAACCTTTCGATTGCACGTGCTCGGTGCTGATTCGGTAAACACAGATTCGGTAATTAATCCATCCTTCTAATCTAACTATGTCAGTTTTTAATAATTTTACTTTTTACATCCTATTTTATAGTTACGTGTAAGTGAATGCATTGCATTGGCTGGGCTCTTTTCTAAATTACTTAATTTAGCACGGTTGATCAACCCAATCAGGTTCTGAAAAAGAGGTTTATAGACAAAATTTAAAAAAGTTAGGTAATAGCCAGAAACAAAATGGGGGAAAAGTTTTGAAATTTTATAAGGTTTATGAGTTTATGTATCTTTACCGTTCATGGATGATCAAAGTGTAATCACTAAGCAGACTCACAACACCATTTAGTACAATCTAACTATGCAGTAAGGCTTATTTCCATTGAGAAAACGAAATTTATGTTGTCCTATGGACCCCACAGAATCCGAACGACAACGTCAAATCCCACTGTGTTTACATGTATGCATGATCACAAGTACATAGGGAGGATCTCTACAGGTCAGGGCTACCGAACACATCCCTCAATGACTGCTAGAATCAGTCAACCCTAGAAATAGGTGTCCAAAGCATACTATACAGGCACATCATAAAGTTGATTTCACCAATGCTTTTAAACTCATGTATAAAAAAGGTTTGGGTCATATACTTAATTGAATTCATTGAGGCTTTAGCCAAGAGAAGACCTAAACCTGTTTTATGTATCTAAAAATTACATGTTATTACTTTGAACCTGACTTTGTATTCCAATTTTAGAACTACGGTTTATTTTACTTAATAATATTTCCACTTCCCCATCTGTCGTGACTCGTAAACATTGGGACCTAAATTTATTATATTTCTACGCTTTATATTCTATGACATATTATATGTATGATATGTATGTGTGTGATCAAAATGTCTGAAATGTGTTGTTACACTTTCTTTAATGAGTAAGACTTTATTTACTAAAACATTCCTAGAATAAATGAACTCATGGTTGTTGACATTTGAATAATAGTCCTGACGAACTCTTTAAATCCGTTTACTGTAGAACTCCAGAAACAAGTGCAATGATTTACTGAAAGCAGTTTACATATAGATAGATGAAGTGCAATATACGCCTAGGCTGTTCTCCAGTTCTGAGGACAAGTCATAACCTGCTTCACTTATATTGAACACTTTATCATCAGAATTCTGTCAAAAAATTCAATGAACCTGACTAAGTTGTCAGTCTGTTCGGTGACTATGTAATCCAGTGAAGCATCCATTGTTGAAGAATGAGTCTGAAAGTACGAAGAAACAGACAGTCAAGAGTCTGTGATTTAAAAACTCAATTAAATTTTTTATTCATTCTTCTCTTTCAATCTCTTTTTTATAAGCTACACACTAGTAAAGGCAGTTATAATCATAGATAAAGAAAGTTACTATTCAACGAAACAATCTAATATGTAAAACCAAATGTGTCCCAAATGTCATGTGTATTATTTCTTCTGTTAAAAGAAATTAATAGTACCTTTACTTTTGAGTATAATTTTTACATGACTTTCATTCCATTGTCTGGAAGTTGGGCTTTTCATAATAACACCGAATAGACTTTGTTTTTTTTTTACCGTGGAGTGTGTTTTAATTCCGTGCAACAGAATTACCCAACTTCATTAATATATCAATTACAATTACAATAACTGTCTAGTATGAAGAATAAGCTAGCAAACGTTTCTTTTCCATGGGGATACAGACGGAACCATTTCAGAACGAAACACTTTAGTGGTTGATAAATGAAATTATTTGATATGTAAACTTGTCTTGTAAGATTACAGTGAGGTACAATTAATTACGGAGTATATTACACACATATTGTAAAATTCGCTTAGGATAACTGAGGAAATAGAAAAAGGCTTTTAATTTACTAAAGAGTATAAAAATAAATCAAACAATCCACATTAAGTAATCCTAGTAAAAGAATTTAACACATGATTACCAGGAGTATAAAAAGACCAGAGAGAAAGTGCATAGAGAAATCATGACCTTAAATCTTACAGCAAGATCCTTGGGACTGAAATTACAGTAATCAGTGGAGCAGTAACAACGCTTTTGTGTAGAAGAGCTTCCGTAAGTTTGAAAGCATGTATCAAAAAATGATGGCTCAAATTTTCTGAGGCATAATCGTGAAACAGTTTTTATTTCATGGTACTGTTGACCCCATCTTGGTTTCCGGAAGTCAATTCTTTGCACTTCTTCAATTTTGATGCAAGCTTTGCAACCATCTTGTTTTTGCCAGGGACCGTTTGTTCCATCACACGGCCAAAGAGACATTTGACGCTCTCTGTCTACGATCTCACATTCATAGCAACTGAGGTTATTCGCATCTGAGCCACCGAACAGATAAAAAGTGACCAAAAGTAATCCGAAATGCATATAAAACCATTCCATTTGCAGAAAAAGTATTTTACACTGACGACTAAAAGCGGAAATGTGTACATTTTTTTCATCTGCCAATCAGAATGAAGATTAACACCCACATTTATGTGTTGGCTAAATTATCCAATCAGAAGGCAGTAAAGGCTATTTTCAAGGTAAATGCTTCTCAAGGCCAACTGTCATTAATTATGCGACCTTAAGAGTAAACCGACGTGATGACTGTGAGCTACGGTAGTGTCATAGCAACTGTTAAGTACGGGTCGTTTTTTCGTCTTCTGTTTCGTTGGCGTGGAAGTCTTTATAAGTTAGTATGGCCAGGACTTCTGGTTTACTGTCTTTGTTACGCCTTGGTAGCTATCGCATATAACGCAATTCCAGACAGACCGGAATATTACAATGCGAAGTTGATGTTTGTTAGAATATGTTACTACGCTGGACGAGTAGCAAATGCTGTTCCATTATCTTTCGTCCTTGCATTTTATGTGAATTTGGTAGTGGACCGGTGGTGGCAGCAGTTCCTCGCATTGCCAACTCCAGATGCTGTATGCCTGCTTGTTTCAGCATATATAGGTGAAAGCTCGGATTCGAGAGAGCAGAAATTTTCAGCAACTGATATCGAAAAACCACTGGTTTATAGGAGGACAATTACTCGTTATATTAATTTGGCTTCTGCTCTGTGTTTTCGCTCAATATCTGTTGGTATGAAACAGAGATTCCCAACACTGGATAGCATGGTTGCGGGCGGTTTAATGACTGAGCAAGAGATGGAAATCTATTCTAAATTAGATGATTCAACAAACTGCTTCTTTGTCCCACTCGTTTGGGCCATATCCCTAATTTCGAAAGCACGTGAAGAAAGGATGATAATTGATGATCGACATGTAGATGCAATGGTAACTCAAGTGGTCAATTTCTGGGAAAAGCTATATACATTGTGTATGTACGATTGGGTTAACGTACCTTTGGTTTACAATCAAGTGAGTGCATTGCTTTAATTTTACACGTTTTTCCCAGTACTATGGTTCTTGTTTTGCTTTAATGAGGGCAAAATTTTTCACAAGGCTTCATTCATCTTTTAGATACTCGTAAGATATTTTGTGTCATACATTTCCCCTTACCCACGTTACATTAGGTCAGGAAATTAAAATGACTCCACTAATTTGTGTGATTAGTTTTGTAACTTTGCATACACTCCTTTTAAGTGTGATTTATGTAGGCAACGGCACTAAAAATCTGTTCCATTTCCATATGACCAGCATCCTTTTCAATGAGTTAACTCTAGTGGCCATCACACATGAGAGTCTTGAGTTCTTAGAGACTAGCAGCAAATGTAGCCATGTTTGAGTACAGCAGCTTGTTGGTTACTCCCTCTGGTTGGTAAGTTTCACCTCCATCTACAAAGATTATTATTTCCGGGAAATTTCTGTTTTTTTCCAGAATATACAGACAGCATACTTGTGTTTAATGTGAACAGGCAAGTCACCTTAGTGTCCTGGTTCATAAACTATTTCTTACTTCATGAGTGGGTCATTGTGAAATTTGGCTTGCCCCTATCAGTTACCCGGTTGATGAAGTACAAAGTCCTATGTTAAAATTAGCCAGTCAGTAGTTGGTGAAGGTAAAACTAACTTTAAAATAAGTTGTCACCGGTGTTTCGGAAACTCTTTATATGTATTGTGTTAGAGAGTTGCTAGTTAATGAAATCTCACTCTGGTAAACGGAGTTGTTACTTATCAGCTCATGCAGTTTCTAACCTGGATAGAACACTACTGTGGAGATGTCTGGTTGGCTTATGTAATGTATTTTCAGCCAGTGGGTTTCGGTTTTTAGTTCTGCTCTACTTACTTTATTCTGGGAAACTAAATAGCATCACTAGCTCTTATATAAGATACATGTGTCTCTCAGTTTGGTACTTGGAAGGTAGTTGATTTCATACTTAGCCTTACTGTTATTCTATAGGGTTGTGGAATAACGTACAAGCGTTGAAAATATCTAGTACAGGGACTGGATTACACTCTCTACGGCATTAATAATATGGAGTCAGGGCACTTAGTCAGTTGGGTACCCTTGTTGTGCAACCTAAACAACTTTATCTAATAATAACTGGAATGCTATCATATTTTTGGAAACCTAAAGATAGCTACACAAAAAATGACGTTAGTAATATCAGGCTGTTCTTTTGATCTCTGTGAGAAAGTATTTCCTGTCTGGGTATGATTAGCAAGAAATGGAGTAATAGCAGTTGGAAAATTTAGGTAATATGACACTATCGATTAGGTATCATAAACTCCTCCTCACTAGTGGATGTGAAGTTATTCGGCAGTAAACTCTCTAATACCTCCGATGGTCCTGGGTTTAAGTATGTTCAAGGCAATTCGAATGTATGAAACAGTGTAGAAGCTAGAATATGCATCAGTTAGTAGCCAGGTGATGGTCAGTATATTTGTCTATTCTTAAGTGGTTTGATCGAAGTGTCTCGGTCTTCGTTTTAAAAGCAGTTTAATTTACTCCCCATCAACCCCTATTTAGGCATCTTGTTCATCTAATATGGTGATAATTTGCTATGTAAATGTCCAAAATGACCTATAGTGCTCGATGGCTATAAAGCACCTTCAGTAACCTAATCTTCAAATCAGTTTGAGATGCAAACAGGCATTTATTAAAAAAAAAAACTTAAGTGTCCATTCTATGACACGCTGATTGTCTGGTCTTGCCTGTCTGAAATTACAAGACAAAATCCCTGAAAAACATTCAATGTATGCCAAAGGCATCAGGATATTAGTTAGTTTCCGCTTTCATCAGAAGCACCAATGAAATTCACACACCTATACTAACTACGGAACGTGCATCAGAAACGCAATGGTAGAAAACATACCAAGATGCACTCAAATCATGGATCCTGTGACATGTTAATCTTTTTCCAGGTGGTGAAATATTTGGCATTTATAGTAGGTTAATCATAATATACGAAATTGGCACACTTTGAATTAAATGAACAACTGACTGGTTTCAACGGAGACATTTGCACTGATGTGCAGTAGTTTGAGTTTCCACACTTCACTTAGCACACCAACCAAGAGAAGAAAGTAAAAAGAAATGCAAAATAGAGACAGTAAACAGAGATATGAGTCAAAAAGAATAGTAATATCGAAGAACCATATAGTTTTATTTAATATTATAAGTCACAAGGAGTGGATGCATCTGCGCTATTAACGATTTAAACGAACGGCTACTTTCTCATTTTGTTACGTACTGTTTCAAGTTCTCCGTGCATATAGTTATGAGGTCTGTGGTGCCTGACAAAAATCACTCACTAATGGAACTGTCATTCATTGGTCAAAGTACTCAACTCTTAACTGTCAAGTCATATATTCTGTTCCTAATACGCTTGTGGATAGCTGCTGCAAGGAAGTAGTTGAGAAACACTATTTTTAAATATACTCTTTAGACATTAACATCTTGAAAAATGCGTTTTGCTAAGGCGGCATTCATTGTTTGTTAGCAATAAGATGATTCGAAAATACCAGTGAGTTTGTCAGGCAAACAGTGGGAAAATGGTGAAACCAAATGATGCAGTTCACGCATAAAAACAATGGGAAACTGTATATTAATAATTTGGTCTGCATGCAAGCTTCGGTCCTCTTCCCCTCTGACGACTTTTGAATGATGATTTGAAATATTGATGTGATAGTTAACATTAGAGCTGACATAATTTCTGGGTACTGAGGTCAACTTTTCTGGTTAATTGGAAATGAGGTAAATGTTCGTGTGGTCGTAACAGAACCGCTGGTATGACCACGATTTTTTTTCCTGTTCCTGTGAAATCGTAGGATTCTTAATCGTAGTCAGAGATGTATGAAGCAACTTAAAACACAAACATACCAGTATAATTAAGCCTGACCTTGTTTACGAATTAGCGAGTGACGTTTAGCATCATCAGTCAACAGATGTCGCATTGATCTCATTCAAATATTTATGTGATAAGTGTACTGAAGTCATCAGAATCTCTTGGCAACTCACTGCATTTTATGTGTTTATAGTCATACATGTAATGAACCATTATCTTTAAATAAAATAAATACATTTTAATTAAATACTGTTAGTCAAGCATATCTTTTATCTCTAATTTTTATTCAAATTTGTAATACATTTCTGAAGGTAACACTGTGTCTTCAACTTCTCGGGAACTAGCTTTCTGTCGGAGGTCGTATTTAGTTAACTTAGCGGACATGAAAGGTGTGATCCTGTTAGTCGAAGATTTTGACAAAATCTAGTCTTCTAAGAACATTGTTGGACAATGTGATAGTTATTGGGACGCATTAACCTTTCCGATGCTGACTTCTTCAATAAGGAGTGAACTAGCTGAACTTCAGTCCTTTTGTTTGGATAGTCAAGTTATCCTTGGTTGCTCGGGGTCCAATAGTATCAGCATCAACTAAAGGGTTGGTTTAAACTTTGTCAACATACCCATAGTATAGTGGAGATATCCGAGTTGTTAGTATGAACAGCAGTGTAAATCGGCCCTATCAACCACATTGTTTGCCTGTCTTACAGTGACTAGGGGTAAAAAGTATATAGGAATTAATATTTTCCCATAAGAAACCTTCTAGGGATATCCTTGAGTAGCAAAACTTATTAAGTGAGAAATACGTATGCCTTCCATAGTGTATTATATCGCATCTTGATTTTAATGTTTCCGTTTTGGTGAGTTTCGTTTTTCTACTCTTCAAAGTTTTGTACTCGTCTATGAAAACCAAAATATATTACCACCCCCACCCAAGTTATTCATGTCCATACATGGTTAATCTTGAGGTGCTGCAGTCCTAGATGAAGTAGGAAGAGACTGAAAAGACTGAAACTGCTTACACCAAGAGGTACCAGCAATACGTTAAGGTCACATAAGGACACCGGTTCCTCTACTAAGGTCTTTAAGACATAACAAATCGATACTTAGAGAATGTTTAATATATCTTGAAGACTGTTGCAATGTTTTAGGCGAATTCAGTCCCTGCCGTATTCAAAACATTTTACTTTTATACATCTATAAATAATTTTGTTATTTTTTGCTTCATACTGTTATAATGCGATTCTATAAAGCTTCACTTTCTCTTTATGCTATGCCTTTAATTGTGGCAACTGGAACTCATACGCTTCTATGACTTACTTGTTTCAGCCATTTATGAAGTCTCCAACTTCTGATTTGGCGTTCTAAACATGGGCACTTACGACAGACGAAAGTGATGTGTATATATTTAGGGTAATAATTGGATGTTGGCTAAAGCATGTTGTAAACAAAGTTGAAATGAATGTGTGAAACTTGGGAGCTGTAGTGGTATGTAGTTTCGTACTAATTTGTTCCATACGATCCTTTAGCCAACATTGTTTCTAGGCCAGGTTGCGGGCTTGAGTATCTGCCTTGTTAAGAATCCTACGCAAAGTTATAGAGGTCCCCTCTTTGTAAAGTGACGCTACTGATGTCTTGAATTCTCTCTACTTAACGCTGTCATCTTTATGTTTATAGCTGGTATTCATTTCACCTACTGGTCGTTTTACCTCTATTCGTATGATTCCTTATATACTTCGGGATATATTTACCATGGTGATTATTAAGTGTCAAGGCCTCTCTTACATATTTTACTGCCTACCACAGATTTTCTTCCGTAGTTTACCTCTTTAACCTGGGAGATCACAAGGTGTGATTGCAGCTGTGCACTGTCACAGACAGTCTCTAACCATTAGTTCTTAGGATCCCGAGGACCGTTACCATGAGGTTTATGCCGTCCTACTTGGCTCAAAGCAGTAATCAAATACTTCATAGATTCATGATGTGTTTCGGTCTGAGCTTGCTGGATGTGCGTAACATATGTCCAAGTCCTGTGAGTCGATGCTATTTCACAAACTCACCCAGTACTTACCTAACATTCTATGCATAACTTCATTCTCGACCGATAGCTGTTACGTTGACGTGGCAGTCGAGCCTGCATATTGTAATGACACTGCCTTGAACAAATGTTTATGTGGGTCCAAATATTCCAGGTAAAATCGCTTGGATAGCGATTAGACTAAAAGTAATTAGTTTCATAGTGTAAGTCCTTCCACTGTTAATACCATTCCACAGGTAGGTCCTTCATCTTCGCTTAACTCTGCAATCATTGATAGCGATGAGAACCATGAAAACACCACTGATAGGCTCTTGAAACCAGTCTGCTAACTCAGTATTGGATCATTCATCGTCAGCGATATATGCCAAATCGAACAACAGGTTTCACTAGCTAGAACTCTGGCATCTCAAGCCATGAATGCACGTTGTGTTTCGGAAACAAACATGCTAGACCCGAATGTGGTTATTCCCTTAAACTCATCTGGTCAATATGCTTAACCCACAAAATTCACCTTACGGGTATCTGAGGATTCTTCGGCTAATTCTCAGGAACATTTTAGTAGGTGACTTCAGTGTTCAAGTAGGGAAGCTTTGCCAGTTAGAAACGTTTTGAATGACACGTACAGAGTCCGATGACGACCAACTGAGAACGGTAATCGTCTTTTTACATTCAGATGGCCATCTGTTCCTTGTCAGCACTATCTTCAAACATGAGAGATAATGCCTGATCTAGCGACCTCCATCATCAAACCAGTGGTGGACGAAAATAAACTAGACAGCTATAAGTTGTCGGTGAAAAAGGTTCGTAGAATAGTACCACTGTTTCCGAAACACGTGCATAGATTTCGCTTATGTACTAGTCCATGCACGCATACATCTGCGACTGAACTGAGGTTCCAGATGCTGTCTCTAATCTAAAACGAGGCAAGGTATTGGGACTTATTGGAATGACTCCGGAGTTGTTTAGGGATGGTAGTAGATTTATTGTCTGAAGTATTAGGTGACTTGTGGAAGCCCGAGGTATTCCCATCAAACTGGTATAAAGAGAAGACGTTCAGCGAAGAGACTCTTTTCGGCGAATTCATTCACATACTGTATAATCGCATTTATATATAATTATTTGTGTGTGTACATGAGGTTTGTCACGTCTAGATAATTGATCAGGTAATACAAGAATGATTTAATATAGAAACAAGGTTAATTAGACAGCAACTAAAGTAAGATTGAGTTAGTAAGTTAGATGACGTAATATAATTGACTAAAATGTTTCAACTTAGGTCAGGGTAGCAGCAGAGGTAATTACAGGTAGAGACTAAGTAGAAGTGGGGTAGAGAATAATGCCGTTTAAATTAGAACTGAAATTGAGCAAATAAGTTGGATGACGTAACATAAATGACTAGAAATTGAGCGTTGGTCAAGTCAGAAACAGTGGTAGTGAGGTGTTGAAATTAAATCGGATGAGAGTAGAGAGCAAGAAGGTTGAAAATGTAAAATATTACAATTGATAAGACGAAATAATACTAATGAAGAGACAGGAAAAAAAGATTAGGTAGAATTTACTTGTCGGGTAATAAGATAGATTACGTCCGTTGTAAGTGTAGTGATTGAACGAACTTCTTCTGTATGCAGAGTTCAGTACTTAGCAAGTGAATCGCCATTGCTTCTGCAGTTTGAAGAAGCCTGATTCGTACACCTTTAAGAAGATTACTTCGTATTCTGTAGATGACTTTAAAGTTTGTTTGGGGTGTAGCTTGGTGTCCGGAATCTATCAAATATTCTAAGATGGAGCTGCGGGGGCATCGTTTTTCTCCTTTGTAAAACCATGTTGGTTAGTGTTCGGTGAAACGTTTGGAAAGCGAACGCTGGATACGGCCGACATACCTGGCTCCACACGAGCAGGTGAATTGATAAATACACATTGATGAGGCGAGCAGTGGCAGCTTATCCTTCACGTTCACATGAATCATAAGTTTTGTGGAGAAGGTTAGTCGTAGTTCAGCTGCGAAGAAGGTCTTCTTAAGTGAGCAGATATATCTCCATTGAACCTTCAATTCAATGGAGATAGTGACAAAATGTAGAGTCTTCTGAATACCTTGAGCAGAAATCCTAGTATGCTTGGCTTGCGATTAGCCCTTATCAAACGTAAGATGATACTACAGGACTGGTGTGCACCGGTACCTAGTTTAAAGATAGAAAGAGAAGTTGTTGAGTGTTCCGACCACTTCACTTATTTAGGGGGTGGCAACAACGCTTATGAACTGATTGCTGGCAGAAGAGACTCATGTGACATTTGTCAACTTACCTCATAAATGGCGTAGATGCGACATTCAGCTATCTATCATATAACGTGTGTATTACACAGCAGTTCACTATTATCCACGAGAAAATTGTAAAATGTTAAAAGGTCCAGTGTAATAATTTCTACAGTGTTTTCTTTATTTTTAAACCCGATTATGAATTCCATTCATTTGTTATACTTAGTTATGACATTCGACGCATGTATGCACTCTAACGTGGTTACTGAATTCTATTGTTAGTGGTTGCTGGTTATTTTCAGGATATAGCAGAAGGGGTTTCCTCCTGATTGGTGCTTAATGTCTAGATTAATATTATTTCCCGTTTTGCTTTTGCCAATAGTCTACTACCTCACCAATTTGGGGATTTTTCCTGGGGAAGCTTTACTTCGTCTGGTACTTTTTATCTAGGCGTCAGTGGTCCAGTGGGAAAATACTGGCCAACCGCATGTGTGATCCGAGGTTCGATTCCCCGCCGACGCTCTCCTTAACCTCGCACAGTTAACTGGTCGATATTAAGCCCGGAGAAGAGGGAAGGTTGCGTGTGAGTCTGGCAACCCTACCCCATTTGGACAATACAGCTATCGAAGCTTCAAGACTTAGAAAGACAATACAAGACTGGAGTCCTGTTCCACTTAAAACGCAAAGGAATGGAAGAAAATCTAAACACCACTTGGCCACCGGGGAATTACTCTAACAGCGATATATTAGAAGAGACAAGAGATCTGGCTAGGATATGGTTCAGGGTAGGGGTCAGCATATATCGATACTCGCAACTTCATTGTGTACCCTTCACATTTTGTTTACTAACAATGTTCACTATGTATTTTCCTAATGTTGAAGAAGATTTTGTACCATAATGTGGTTAGTCCCACACTCTCCATGTTTGTGGGGATTTTTTTCCCTCTATAATATTCAAATTATCATAAATTCATGACCTCTGCGACGCGTAATGCAGGAGATTTTCTTTGGTTTTTATTGCTTCTTCTTTAGGTTGTAGCTCTAGCTGTGTACATTTACTTCGGTGTTACAATCTTCGCTCATCAATTTATCGATGTTTCTGTAATCATAAAAGCTGCCAACTTAAAAATAAATACATCAAGTATAACAACACCCAACAGTAGTATTGTCGGGAATCCAATCAATGTTTTCAGTAATCTGTCTGCTCTGTTACCACCATCATCTGACAACAGTACTAATAGTATGCCATTCCTTCAGGTGTATCCAAATTTTCCGCTATTCACAATTCTTTCATTCATTTTCTACAATGGTTGGCTTAAAGTGGCTGAATCACTTGTCTCACCTTTCGGTGATGATGATGATGATTTTGAAGCTGTTCCTTTATTGGAGAGAAATTTGAATGCCAGTTTATATTTTGTAGATGCCAGTATTTCAAATCCTGATTTAATTCCTCATTTAGTAAAAACTGTCTGTAGAATTGATGTTGATGATTATGATAATGACGGTTATTCTAGTACAGGTAATGATGGTGATGGTTATAGCCGATCGACTACACCAGCAGGTCGCCGAACAATGCAAAGTTTTCGATCAAGAGCTGATAGTCAAAGGAGTAGTGTTATGTCACCTGGCTATCCTGATCCTAGATATTTCCCACCTTCACCAGCAACTTTAAGATCAATTATGGATAATGATATTCCTTATTTGCCACCTAGTCGTCAACGTAAACAGTCACATACAGCCTTTAAAGGATCTCTCGCTGTACTGGCAAATCCAAAAGAAAGTGATTCAATGAATTTACAAATCAACTCTCCCTACCTTGATACTGATCAGGGCGGTGAACATCTAAGTCCGGATACCTTAATTGCTTCAATGGAATCGTCTATTCACCGATTAGGATCTAGGCTGAAGAAATTCTCACACGTTCTACCAGGTCCTTCATCAGTGCATGGAGTAGTCCGTCGCACTCCAAGATCTGCAAATCTACCGAGGACAGAAAGTTTTGCATCTTTTCAAAGTGATACTATACCTGAATAGTTTGTTTGTTATTAACAGAGATACCTTCCTGCGCCTTATTTCTGTTTGTTACTTCTCCAAGCATTTGTTCAAGATATACTTTATTGTATTGTTCATCTGAAGAGAAAACCAACCAAACAAACAAACAGTATACCATTTGCTTAACGTGTGGCTGTGTTGCTCTTTCTGTAAATTCAGAGCTTTGATGCGATTGAACAGGTTAACTGTGTTTTTTTGTTTGTTTGTTCACCTGTTTTGAATTCTTGTACATTCTAACTTAAATTCTCCTTTCATTCAACCACTACTGATAATGCTTAATCTATTTTCAGATCTTGTGTACTGATTTTTATCTTACTATATATTCAAGAAAACAGTTTCTAATTTCTTAAATAGCGTAGTTACTTGCTGTTTCTTTTTCTTTCTTCATGTTAACCAGATTTTCCGCACACGGATTTTGTGTTGAGAAGCCAGATTTTCTATTGTCATTGAATGTGTTGCTTCAAAGAAATATTTCACTAATCGGGAGGATTAGTTGTCGATTACATCGTAGGATACCAGATATTCATTAGACGACATATTGGGGTGAAGTCAACATTCCACTCCGATATAAATACGTGTCTTTGAATCCTACAGAGTCCTATGAGATGACATTCGTAGCATGTTTCCGAACCACAAAATCTATTGTCCTGTCATTTATTCAGAAGTAATCTCATTGTTGTTATCCAAAGATACTTTGTTGTATCAGAATCGCTGGCTACCGTCCTGTATGTGTCATTGTCGGGTAGAACGATGTTGTCTCCATACTCAAAGTCTAATAATCTTTATCGAAGGAGTAGTTATGCACTACTAACACATACTTTCTTCAGAATATCGTCTACAGCAAAGTTAAGGGGGACGTGCGAAATTAGGTGGCTCAGTCTAACAGCATGGCTGATTGAGATAAGTACTATTTAGGGACTGTTCCCACTCTAACTATGGTCGTTTTGTTTTGCTGTCAAACTTCTAAAGAGGCTTTCAGGGATGCCTCTGTCTCAGGCAATACTCCAAACCTTACCAATACATCAAATGCACCTTTAATGTCAGGATTGTTTGTTGACCTACAGTTCATGTAAGGGTATTCTAGCAGCTACGGACGGTGGTTTTGTGATCAGTTCATTGACAATATCCAGTCTGCGAAGCCCGACACTTGCTGTTTAGGCCATTTTTTTAGGTAGGCACAGTGGTCACTTCACTCCACAATGATGACCCCATACTTCCTGAAGTAACTGGATCATTCATCAACTAGCTTTTCAGCACCATCTTTAGCAAAGCCGTCTGTAACTGTCAGTATCTTTTGGCAATTCAGTACTTACTTTTGGACCTGCACTTTGTTAATTGGATCCTTGTGAAAATACCAATAGGCACTGTGACTGAAGACACCGAATGACTGGAGTAGTTAGCCAGCTAAACCGTTTCAAAGTGATCTACCCAGCATTAAAGACGTCTTTGAAAATTGCTTATTGGCCTATCACCTACTTCAGATTGTGTCATTGACAATGTCCTCTGCTAGCGGTGGTGATCTAGAACAGCTTCTGACTAATGCTAGGTGCACACGTTCTGACGACAAGTCTACTTGGTCTTTAGGTTTCGATTTTATACATGAGCTTTTTGCAGTTTGTTTTACCGGGTTGAGTGTACCAACGAGTATCAGACAGTTGCAATGAACTCCCGGAAATTCGTTGTTTTAGTTTTCTTTTCAGGCATAAGCTGAGGCAGTAACTCATTGAAGAAGACATGTCATGAATTGGCAGAAGTTCATGGGTCGTTGGATCCAATCCGAGTGGCTTAATAGTCTACGAGCTCGCCTTGTAACCAGAAGATCCCGGGTTCGAGCCCCGGTGGGTGCGTACTGATGAAGAGTCCAAAGCTAGGCTGACGAAGCAGCTATCGAGTACTCCCAGGTGATTTTCCAGCGTTTCTCTAAATGATGTCAGCTCATGATGAAATCCTCCAACCAATCAAACAAAATCCCTACAAAAACCAATACTTGAATAAGTGATTTTACTTGCCAACTTCATGAGGTATCGTAAGTATAGCCTGTGGTCGTCTGTACTGTCTGAATGGTAAATAGTTGACCTTAAATTTAGCATAGTTTGATGTTCGCTTACTCCAGTCAGCGTTTATGACAACCGACTAAACACTAGAGAAATAATTCACATTAAGCCATGGTCAAATTCCACACTAGCGCTATCAAAAGAAGTAATAGTTCCTTATACACCCACACCACTGGTAGGCAATGATGATGTGATCTTTTGAATCCAGACTTGGGTGATATGGGTCTAATAGGACATAACAGTTATACTATGAGTTTGATGCTGGTTGACGTAGACTGTGATCTGTGCGACGCTGCAAAAGACTGTCCTCATTATCCGACTTGCTTACATCCAGTCTGTATGTCCACTGTATGTATTCAAGTCCCCAGCTAGTAGCACTACATACGCCGAGCGTACTTGATTGATGAGGTCTTTCAGATGATACTACTATCTGTCACCATGCATTCAGGGATGACAAAAAGACACGGCTTATCTGGCCAGTCACTTTTCAGTTAATTACAACCTTTTATTCCAATATCAATTTGAAGATTATTATTGGGGAGTTAGTGAAGTAAGACAGTTTTAGTTGTAGTACTTATCGCGGCGCCGATACTAGCTAAACTCGTACGATAAGACAAGCTCACGTGAGGTTTACTTCGTGTGCTCAAAGGTGGATAAGTTGTTTCTGAAGCGCTTTTATACTGATCTATTAGGAGCAGCGTAAATAAATAGCGAAGTAGGCTTCAGTCAAATGTGCTGGTGACTGATTGAAATCTGTGTTTGAACATGGTAGGTGAAAATATTGAATGGGGGATATTAAAAAGCCAGTTTTCTGGAAGCAACTATTTAGCAATTCAAATAAGTATGTATTTTAACTGATCTTCCAAATAATGAGAATCAGACATTGAAAGAGGATAAAGTCAAGTATCAACATAATAAGAAGATTCGACATTTCGTGTATGAGAATTACAATATTTTATTTTCCTTCATGTTCCCCAGTGGAACATAGGGCTTCAAGCTAGTGGCTTGAAGTTTCTGTAGCAGTGTTTATTTTACAGGATGAGGTTGCTAGCCGCATGCCCAACCTTTCCTCTTCACCAGCATCGTTTCTGGCTTAGCGAGGTGAAAGAGTGCGTCTGCCGGGGATCGAACCCGAACCATGTGCATGGTCGGCGAGCGTCCTAACCGCTATGCCACCGACGCTGGAATAACAATATAGGGATAACTCATTGGAACATGTAGACAACTAAGTAGTAGGTAGACTTTAAATGAGCTGTTCGCTAGATCGTCGTTTGGCATTTAGTATGTTACCCGATATTACTACCTGGATACCTTAACCGAACTATATAAGTATGTTAACGTACTACTTATCGAACCTTTGACTGGAAGTTGACAACAACAAAATCAACAGATTTATTCTTATGGATGTAGGTGATCAAAGCAGAATCATGCATTAGTGTTCATTTTCGTATACTTGATCCTATGTGCATCACTAGTTTGGAATGAGGATTTTTAATCCCCAATGATCAGTGTTCCTTCATTTTCAGGGATAACAAGCCCCTCTACTTGAAGGCAGAGGATAAGATGTGCCTGCCAGAAGCCATGAACGTGTGGTCGTGTGAGAGTTTTTGGAGGGAATATCGAAGTCTAGGCACATTTGAGCGTATCAGGTGATTTAAGGGATAGGAACTCAGTAATCCTGAAGTCTTTATCAGTAGAGTATGGTGTGAATAAATTATACGTGAAATACAAAACCGAAATCCACGAGATATTTTGAGTTTCTTTTATTGCCAAAACAAAGCTAGCTGGAGTTGTGTTTCGTCTGTCAACGTAAATCTTACCGGTCTCTGCTTCTCCCCATATATTGCCTTTTTAAGTAATCAGTTATTACATGGTAACCGTAGAGATTACCATTCAGTGACCAAATTGTGCTTGACATTATTTTTTACATGGGGTCAAGTAAGAATCTGTTGGTTTGATGGTTCGCTTTTTTAATTTCCGTATTGGCACGATTGTCACAGACTGCAGATGTCTCCATATTCTCTGTGTTCATAAGTACCAGCCCAACACAAAGGAACTTCGAGAGTAATCCAGTATGTAATGAATCAAGTTTTTTGGCAATGAGCGCCTAAAATCTCTGCAGGAAAGAGTTACAGTGTGCAGTAGGAGTCAGAGTACTTCATAAATGTCCGCGAAAAATAATACGATATAATAATTTCAGTCGTCTAAAGATCGTGAGGATTAAAATGGTTGGATGGCGCTAATTTACCATGGTGCCTCCATTTCTTTATTGAGAGATATCAGTTCCATTGTACACAGTCTCTGACTTGTTTGTTTTCACGGGATGAAGAAAACTTGTAATCACCTTCGTGTTATAATTATAATGAAGTTACGGTGCATTTTACCCAGTGGAAACACCAAGATGGTCACATTAAGCGTTTATTTACCAAAAGTAAGTTGGAGACAATATCGACGTTGGATATCAGTGACATTTTCTCAGTTTAACGTTTCGAATATGGACGAAAATCTCTCCGTACTACAAAGTATTCACGAATATTTGTTGTAAATTGAATTAGTCAACTAGCAATGTATAAATCTTGCAATTTCCTGTATGTCACTTGGAAGTTTTTAGAAAATAAGTGAAGGCAATATAATGCGATTTCTATTCAACAGTTTTTCAAGTATGACACAATGGTGTGGACAATGATAATTTTTTTTTAACACACGATTCTTTCATTACATGAACATTAACCTGTAGTCTTGTGGTAGATTCCATGAAACAAGGTGACAAATAAGACGAATCTACACTGCAAGTTATACGATTTAACCAAATATGGCTATTTATGACATCCTGAATGAAATAAAAGATTACGTTTATGTCGCCTAAAAATAGTGTGAAAATGGTTAGAAATAGACTTTCTATCAGTAGGACCACTCTGGCTTAAATAAATGACATCTAAAGTAAGGAAATACCAGCCTTCAGGAAAGCGCTTCTATAATTTGTAATTTACCCGCAGAATTAACCCCTGACATACATTAAACAGTGTGTGAATAAAACAACTGCTTGATTCTTACTGCATCAACTTCGGGTGGAAGAAAAGGCTTCAACAGCACATCGCCATTTCACTTTGTTCTTTTGTGTCTTCTTCATTTGGGTCAACCATTGCCTCTATAAGCCCTTCATTTCCTCCTCACGATCTCTTCCATGTCCCTGTCGGATGCACGCCCAATTCATCATCTCTTATCCGGTCCCTACTCGAAACCTTGGCGCGTGATTTTACTCAGATGTCCCCTCAGCATATGTCTAGTCCATCTACATTTTCTTCTACATATTTGTTGGCTTGGCAATAGGTTCTTGGTTGATTGGTTGTCAGATATCCTTATTTCTTTTCCTTTATCGCCATCTGATCTGTAGTACTGCGTATAGGCTGTTAGCTGTTGACAAAAGTCTGAGTGCAGTAGATTTCTACAGTGATTCCAGAGTAATGAAGATATGTCTTGT